ACGTCAAAAATTGCAGTCGGGTCGTTATTCCATGATGATTCGGAAGTAGGTAAATTAAAAAAAAAAATTACAATTATTAAATATTACAAATTAAATTAAAACATGATTGTGAAATGATTTAAAAAAAATAATTAAAAAAAAATTTTTGATTGTGAAATAATTTTTTATTTACTTTGTTATATTTTACGTTTTATTTTTGTTTTTTTAAATGTCATTTCCATGTAGTACAGTATTTTTTTATAACTGTATTAATATAACTTGTAAATAAAAGATTTTATTCTCTTTATATATATATTTATATATATATATATATATAAAATAAAGTATTTATATACTTTTTTAATTGTAAAATTTTTGTTTTCTTTTTTTATGTTATTTTTATGTTTTATGTTTTATTTTTATTTAAATAAATGTCATTTCCATGTAGTACCGTATTTTTATTGCTGTAATAATATAATTTTTAAATAATGTTAAAATTAAATAATAATTTTTAAATAATTTTTAAATAAAGTATTTACATTTTTATATATATTCAAATATTTTAGTACATTTAAATAACAACAAAAGTTTACAAAATGACTAAAATGTCAAAACAAAAAGAAATTATAAATGAATTATTATTTTTTTATTTATAAAGTATTATAATGTTCTCATATTTCACTGTAATATGAACTGTATTATACTGTAGTATGACAGTACAATACTATAAATACATATAGATAAATAGTGATGTAAATGTAAATAGTTTTTTTGCTGTAACTGATTTACAGTAGGTTACTGTAGATTCTACATGAAATAGTTTTTTATTTAATAAAAATTATTTATATAGTATTTTATTGTGAAATAATTTTTATTTTCATTTTTATGTATTTACCGTTTTATTTAGCTTTTTTTAAAATGTCAGTTCCATGTTGCATCATATTTTTATTAACGTAATAATATAACTATAATTCTTTCTCTCTCTCTCTCTCTCTCTATATATATATATATGTATATGTATATATATATACATATATATATATACAAATACATATATATATATATATACACACATATATATATATATATATATATATATATATATATATATATATACATATATATATATATATATATATATACATATATATATATATATATATATATATATATACATACATATACATATATATATATATATATATATATATATATATATATATATATATATTTATTTGGAAATATATATAAATTTTTTTATACATAAAAATAACAACAAAGCTAACAAAATGACTAACAAATAAGAAATTATAAATTATTAATGACTTTTAAAATAATTTATAAAGTATTACGTTCTCATAGTTTGTATTAAACTGTAATATGAACTGCATTATGCTGTAGTATGACAGTTATGCGGTATATTACTGTATTTTAATGTTGCATGGTGGAAGTTAGAGTTTATTTTACAGAACAGATATACAATAATGTAAACACAGAAACAGCAAGATAAATGGTGCTGTAAATGTAAATACAGTGTTTTTGCTGTAACCGATTTACAGCAAGTTATTTTACATTCCACAGGAAATTGTTAACAGTTTATACACAGCACAAATACATTACGGAAATACAAACTTTTATCTCGAATGTGATTAATCTCGATTAATCATTTCACAACACTATTTTTTATTAATTATTATATAAAAAAATATGATTTGGAAATAAATATTAAGAGAAATTAAAATTATTATTTAAATCAAACAAATTTAAATTATTAAATTATTGTGAAATAAATAAATAAATTAATTAATTATTTTAATAACCATATAAAGTCCCTTCATGGTCCACATGCTAAATATTATAAAAAAGTTATATTATTTATTTAAATAATACAAATTCATTAATTCATTCTTTTCCGCTTACACAGCAGATGCCCTTCCAGATGCAACCCAGTACTGGGAAAATAATACAAATTAAATTTATAAATGTATTGCAAAATATCTTTTTTAGTTTTGTTAAATATCATTTTTTAAATGTATTAAATAAAATAATAATAATAATAAAATAAAAATAAATAAATAATCAAATAACCTGTTAGATCAGGAAACAGCAGTACTCACAGTAAAGTCCATTTAAAGCCCTCTGCAGTTCACTGTGGTCCTCATGCTAGATAATGAAGATCATCATCAACAGATACAATTATTCTCCCTCTTTCACATCTTATCAGTCTTCTGTTCAGCAGGACTCTCACAAAGCATTCAATCCCACCTAACATCCCTCTTTCTCCTCATCCGTGGGTTAATTAAACTCAAATTGACTCCAGATATATGCAAACACTTTAATGCCGAATTTCCTCATCAGCAAGATTTTCCAAATAGCTCCATTAGACCCTAATAACTCCAGTGCAGGCCCTCCAGATTTAATTGGTAGTGGATGAATTAGTACTAATCAGCAGGAGTAATTATCAGTAATGTCGGATAAGTATGTTCTTTTAGTCATCGTTATGAGTATGAAGCGATAAGACTGTAAAAAAAGGGAAACGGGTTCAGTGAGGGGATGCAGTAAGTTTGACACCGAGTGATTGAACTAGGTATTGCACGCCTGGTTCAAAACACATGCAAGTGCAGGTTGCCAGATTGACGACTCCAATAGGAGCGAGCCTGACTGTCGAGTCAAGGCTGATTTAAAGTCATGCTTTAAAATAAGTGATAGAAGAAATATTTACCATATTAAAAGGAGTTTTTGTCCTAATAATAGACTGTAAATATATGGACGTAGTATCCGTGATGTTAGCCAAAGGTTTCTGAAGAGAGCAAAAGAAGCTACAAGTAGGCGTGGCCAACTGTCCCCACTGACCAGGGGATACCAAACAAACACAAAGAGGCGGGGCATGAACAGAGCTACAGACACCTAGCATTTTGTTTATACAGGCTTTTCTTTGGGAGAAACGCTTAATACTTCATTACCTGCGACTCGTTTGTGTTCTGACCACTTGTGCTTGGTTGTATACTATATCAATAAAGTGTTTAGTCTTTTAAAACACTGTTGTAACACACTGAGCCACTAAACACTATTCTCATGACATTTTTCTACAGGAGGAAAACCCGAATTACTTCCAAACACTTCAAATATAGTCTGTGTTAGTAAATGCAGGGCTATGTATGAAATCCAGGCATAACAGTGTATGACAACACTTCAGATGACTGTTCTCACTTGGGTAACGGAGGCCACGTGAATGGTTTGCGGTTTGTTGAGTGCACACAGCATGTCATATCATCTGATAATTGTAAGAAATAAGTCCAAAAGGCAACTGACTGTGTAAAGCCACATAAAACAACACAAAAATACAATGTATCAGTCGAGTTCAGCAGCTAATCAGCCGGAATCAGCTGGGCTGAAGTAACGGCGACCAGCAAGACATAGCTGTCACTCAAGTGGCCACGCCCTTAAATATGCAGACTTAATATAACTTAATATAAACAAAACGGATGAGTTCTAAAAAAAAAAATTAAATCACCCCCCTCACTGTTGTCATGAAGGGTAATATTAGCTATATGAACCAAAATCTTTCTCTGGACCAGGCTGTAAACACCTTTCTATCAGCTGACCATTTTAACAGTGGGCTCAATAGAAATGTGCTCTATTATGTAGCCAGGAATAGCGAAATTTCGATGAATAGCAGTTTCAGTTACTTCCTTATTTGCTTCACGAGGGACAGTGGGAGGTTGCCGATTGGTCCTAACCAACTCCTTGAATTGATATATTAGAAATATATCCAAACAATTCTTCTTCTTCCACTCGTTTTGGCAACACAACGTGGCCGTCTGTACACTGCAACAGGTAAAGACAGTCTTCGAAGCTATCATGGATATTAATGAATTTGCACCTCATACACAATAGAGTGAGCTGATTGGTTCGAACCAAGTCTTTCTCATCAATTAATGCTCACACTCAAATGCGTCACATTGTACCCGCCAGTACAGACAGAAAGTCTACACGCTGGAATACACAGAAGGATCTCCTCGCCGTAACGTTGCTTCAAAAATTAGTTTAAAACCGGAAGAACGAATTTGTTCGAAATAATGCAAAAACAACCAGTTTCACTTTTAAGTGAAATATATGTGTCCTGGTAATGTTTTTAGCAATGTGGGTCACAAATATGACTGTCAACAGCTCAAAAATATGTTTTGGTGTTTTGTGACTGAAATTTTTACAGGAAATAGTAAACAATTAAGGAACATTTGGCGTACTCTATTTAACATACTACCATTTGTGACTTACTAATTCTATTTTCAAATACTGTTTAGGACGGAGAGTATGTGAATTGGGATGCAACAATGGTTTTCCACCAAGGCAACGCAGAGTGCTGAAATGTAATTGGCTAAAACTGGGATTGATCAGGTTAAATGACCAAAACAACATACATGCCATGTTTGAGGTGTGCACTACCTACCATAGAAGAGATTGCACAGGATCGAATGCTGGACAAATTTGTTAGTATAATGAACCACGATAGTCATCCCCTTTTTGATACAGTCCAAGCGTGTGCAAGCTCTTTTAGTACAAGATTAATTTAACCCCGGTGCTACAGAGAAAGATACAGGAAGTCTTTTTTTACCAACAGTGATCAGATTGTATAACCAAAGTCATACCAGATGAATTGTGCTGAACTTGAATTAGATATTAGATATGTACAAGTGTTTACTCGTTGTTTTTGGAACCAAGGTGTGCAGTATGAAATGTAATCTTATTATTGTTTTTATATGTGTGTAACTTATTTATCTATTTATAGTATGGAGAGCCCTGCTGTGACATGTGAATTTCCCTCCGGGGATTAATAAAGTCAAACTAACTAATTAAAGACAGTAACAAAGACGTAACAGACATTTTCAAAGCAGAATATCTGACTTCAGCATTGTTTTTCAGAAAAACAAAAATGTTCTCATAGCATGTTTCTTAAATATCTGCAAAACTATTATGGTATGTTTATGCTTCAGAAGAGTTAAAAACTTCAATGCAGCACCTTTAAAGTGAAATAAACCAAAACACCTTTTTTATTAATGAAAAACACAAATGTACAAATTGTGATTTTAACATAACACGTACCAAAATGTGACAAACAATTTGATGATTCATGATTGAGGAGGCAGTTTACTTACTACATTTAGATATGAGAGTTTTGGTTATAGCGTGTGCAGTGGAATCACATTATTTTTCATTTAATACAACATTAGCTCAGCTTGAAAAATAATAGCAAACCACATAGAAGGAATAAGGTATCAAAAAAAGAAGAAATAAAATATCATCATGCTTGTTATTTGATTTTAGTTATGCAGACCAGCATCTTGATTTTCATAAAAATATATATAGGCAGAAACCAATTAAAATTTACAAATAACTAAAGTTTCATTCTTAAAAATAAATCGACCAGAAATCCTTCTAAAACAGCAGTTAATGAAGTAAAACAAGTATAAAAAGATTAAATAAAATCCAAAAAAGCAGATTTTCCATAAACATCGACTGCAAAAAAGCAATATAAAAATATTATAGGAATTAAAATCAATTTTCCAATGACAAGACACACATAGGATTGAACACCGACTGAATATCCATACAGTAGCATGTTAAAAAAGTAACAATCAAAATTAAATCCACAAAACGTCATGTATTCTTTAATTTCTTGCTATCTATTTAACTAGAAACCCCTTCGTTCAAGAGTTAAATGTGCAAAAACATGAGTATAAAGTGGGTGCAAGGATTTATTGTTTATATATTGAAGTTGGCTCTCGCCGGATCCTGTTTTGACTGGCATCACGACTTCTAATTATAACAAACAGATTATTTTATAAACCGAGGACATCAGGAAGTCTTGTTTCCAAAGCAATGATCCAACAATGTTTAACCTTAAAGAAGCGTACTGCACCTAGACGGCAAAAAATAAAATGAAAGAAAAACAAACAGCAGAAATGTTAAAACCTCGACCTGAGATAAAAGAGGAGCCGCGAGGACAAAAAGTCAAAACAGTTGTTGGAGACTTTGATATGGGATCTGTTGTTTGTGTAACCTCGTCTGATTCATTGTTTTTGGGACGACTTAACAAAAATGTAGCGACTAATAAGAGAGTATTAATTTCAAAACATCAGATTTAGGACACTTTAAGATTGATTTATAGCAAAACGGAGGTGTTTCAGGGAGACAAAGTTACAGAAAAGGCTAAATAAAAACATTTAGTTTAACAGAAAACGTAAACTGATTGTAAATGTCTTCACATTTCAACATCTTCCCACCATAAGGCACCCCAAATATAAACAAACACACTCTCGGAAAATGTTTTTAGGGTAAAATGACGAGAATATTTAAAAATCTAGTCTGTAAATAATGATGAGGAGGAAGAAATGACCCTACTAGCCACGGCTGACCATCATATACACATTTGTGTGAATTAAATACATGCAAAAATGTACATACAAATATACAAACACTATAGATCCTTCCTACAGCTGTATGATTCAAGCTTAAAGGGGCAGTTCACACAAAAATGAAAAAGAGCAGTTTTATTTCAGACGATCCAAGATGTAAGTGATGTTTTATTCTTTAGAAGGGCTTTATTGAAGGTTTTAGCTCATAAAATGGAAGTCCAGGTACTTTAAGAGTCATAAAAAAGACACATACAGGCAACACAAAATTAATCCTTATGATACAATAAGATCAGAAGTTAAACGATCTGTCTGCGCTATAAACTGATCACAATTCACAACATGAGTCATTATGTCATTCTGAGTCAAAGGCACTCATTTTGTTTTGCCTGTTTTGTTTGACTCTCAAAGTTGTTTGTTTTTCTGCTTTTCAATAATATTTAGCTCCACCAAAGACCAGTTTAAGAAAAACTTAAATTTCTGTCATTATTTACTCTTCCTTTACTCGTTGAAAACCTGTACCTTCCATATACTTGTTTTTCCTACTATAGAAGTCAAAAGTCACAGGTTTCCGCCTTTCTTCGAAATATCTTCTCAAAGAAACTCAAATAGGTTTCAAACAAGTCAAGAAAGAGATTACAGATTACAGAACCTTCAGTTTTGGACAAACTAACCCCTTTACTTCTCTTGTTTTTTTTTTTTGTTGTTTTTATTTTACTGTCAAAGTTGTTTGTTTTTCTGACTTTCAGGAATATTTGACTCACCAAAGACCACAGTTTCAGCAAATGTTTACAAGTTTCTAGCTTTCTTCAAAATATCTTCTCAAAGAAAATTGTGTAGGTTTCAAACAAGTGAAGAAAGAATAAATGATGACAGAACTTTCAGTTGTGGATGAACTAACCCCTTTACCTCTCTTGTTTTTAGACTCTCAAAGTTGTTTGTTTTTTAGTCTTTCAAGAATATTTGACTCACCAATAATTAAAGTTTCAGCTTTAAAAAAAAATGGCTAGATCCTCCAAAACTAAAGGTTCGGTCATCATTTACTCTTCCTTCACTTGTTTCCATCCTATTTGAGTTTCTTTAAGAAGATGTTTTGAAGAAAGCCTGTAACCATTGACTTCCATATACTTGTTCTCCCTACTATAGAAGTCAAAGACAACAGGTTTCTAGCTTTCTACAAAATATCTTCTCAAAGAAACTCAAATAGGTTTTGAACAAGTGAAGAAAGAGTAAAGGATGACAGAACCTTCAGTTTAGGATGAACTAACCCCTTTACCTCTCTTGTTTTTTTTTTTTTTTGACTGTCAAAGTTGTTTGTTTTTCTGACTTTCAGGAATATTTGACTCACCAAAGACCACAGTTTCAGCTAAAAAGGCTTAGTTCATCCAAAACTGAAAGTTCTGTCATAGTTTACTCTTCCTTCACTTATTCAAAACCCATTTTAGTTTCTTTGAGAAGATGTTTTGAAGAGAGCTAGAAGTCTGTAGCCATTGACTTCCATATACTTGATTTTCCTATACAATAGAAGTCAATGGTTACAGGTTTATAGGTTTCTTTAAAATATATTCTCAGAGTCACTCAAGTAGGTTTCAAACAAGTGAAGAAAGAGTAAATGATGACAGAACTTTCAGTTGTGGATGAACTAACCCTTTTACCTTTTGCATTTCAAGAAAATTATCCAAAGACGACAGACCAAAAAGGGGTTAGTACATCCAAAACTAGAAAATTCGGTCAACATTTACTCTCATTCACTTGTTTAAAACCTATTTGAGATTCTTTGAGAAGATATTTTAGCTACAAACCTGTAACCATTGACTTCCAAATACTTGTTTTTCCTACTAAAGAAATCAACGGTTACAGGTTTTCACCTTTCTTCAAAATATGTTCTTTTTGTGTTCAACAGAAGAAAGAAACTCATAAATGTTTGGAACCACTTGAGGGAGAGTTAATAGGGAGTAACTCTTCATTTTTTGTCAAACTACCCCTTTATTGTTCTAGTTAAGAAGAAAAAAATGTGCATTTTGAAAGGTCCGAGGGTGAGAAAATAAACAGCACATTTTCAATTAGTGGGTGAACTGACCCTTTAAACTGGCCCTGCTGTAAAATCAAGTTGACGTCCAGATTTGAGCAATACAGAATGCTAGTTTGGAGTAAATCTTTAACAATCTTTACCTTGTTTACTTTGGAGTAATCCATGGCTGTGTCAAGCTACCATCATTAGCATTTTCTCCTCATACCGTACATCTTCCAAAAACTAGATTGGTCTCATAATTGTACAAAATTACCTTCATTTTTACACAAGCACTTCAGCATTTCAGCACCAACCTTCCTCTTTCTCCTCTAGACGGCTCCGATCATTGGGTTTTTCCGCCGAGGGTCTTGATATTGTTCATCTGTGTATGGGCTGTAGCGGTCAGGACTGGCCGTTCGGTAGTTGCCCTGGTTTAGCGCCTCATATCGCGGTGGCTCTCTGGCTCCTGGATTGGATGACGGAGGGACGTCCTGCCTCATCATCTGTTTTGCTGGGGATGAAGGGTAATGAGCGCCTGGGGTCTCTGTGGGTTTGGGTACAGGCAGACGAGGCGAGCGTGGAGGATTGTCGTAAATGGGGTTCGGGTAAAGGACAGGGTCTCTCTGATTAGACCAGTTCTGGTTTGGATATTCGTCAACAGGCTTCTTCCTGGAGAAACAGACATGAAGGATAAAACACCATGAAATGTGAAATCATTTTATATAGGAATATTTAAAATGATTAAACCCTGCATATATGCCTTCATACACAAGTTTTAGCCTTGTTTCTAGTCCCAATGTCTAAATTCTTAAATCAAGCAGCACTTTCTAGAAAAGTCAAAAATATTGTCTTGTTTTTGGAAATAATATCCAAATGAAGTGAGTTTTTACTTAAAACGAGCAGAACAATCTGCCAATCGGGTCAGCTAAATATTCTATTTTCACAAAATATTGAAAATTGAAAAATGTTATTTTGCTGACTCCGTTGGCAGATTATTTTGCTCGTTTTAAGGTAAAACTCACTTCATTTTGGCATTTTATTTGTTAAAACAAGCCAATTTTTTTTTTACTTTTCTACAAAACAATGCCTGATTAAAAGATTTTGGTTAATATTTGGACTAGAAACAAGACAAAACCTCTGCATTTTTGCAGTTTAATCTATTAAAATAACTTTTTTTCTGTCAGACGATGCATTTTCTGTCAGAAATATTTAGTGTGACAAGACTTCTCATCGTTGAATACAGGATGGACATTTAGATACATATTTGTACTATAATGCAAATCCTCAGCAAAACACTTCCATTTTTTCTGCTCACTAATGACTTTGGGATACTGAATATATAGAGTAATTTATATATTAATTCATCTTGTGCATTTTTCACTGATTCTAAAAACTTCATTGAAATAAAAATGTGATTGGCTGTTTTTTTATTATACTTAAACACTATTTTTAATAATAAGTTAAAATTATGTCTGAGCTTTTTACTCTAGTCAACAAAAAGCTGAATAATGGTTAAACTGATAATAATGTCTATTTTGTTTACAATTATAATATAAACAGCTGTTATCATTTGGGAAATTTATTTTCGCATTACATAGGAATTATTGCATTTTCTCTTTTAAGCATTATCTTCAGCACAGTCTACTGATTTACCACAGGCCACATATCAAATAATCTTCACTTAAATTAACATATTAGAACATGAAACATCAAGAAACAAGAATCTCAGAAGAGAAAACAGAGAATTTCAATAATAAAAGTAATTCCAACTTACATAAATGTTCTTCAATTAACATATTTATTTAAAGCACAATATATTTGCAATCAAATATTTTTAAAAAACTTTGACGACTATAGAAAATAGACTCAGAAAATAAGAAGATCCTCTGGCCAAACTTAGCCTAGACTGCAGCTCTGCACAAGAAGTTTGGCCAGAGGAGAAATAGTCATGCCCAACTGAGCCTCGTTTCTCTCGGTGTTTGTTTTCCCTTTACTTTTGTCAATTGGTAAAGTTAGTTCCTCATCGCTGTCGCCACTGGCTTGATTGGTTTTGAAACATGTGGAGCTGCACATCGATGGATTTGCTCTTCAGTGTTTGGACTTTCAGCTGTGAAAATTAAACCACACTGAACTGAACTAAACACTGAAAATTGGACTGACTCAGTTTCACTTCACTAGAACTTCTATGTTAAGCTGCTTTGACACAAACGATATTGTTAAAGCGCTATAAAAGTATAGATGAATTTAATTGTATTTTCAGAAAATAGTGACTTGAATTTCCATCTGTGCATTACAAACCTGCGGATGATTTGAAAGCAATTGTAGTGTAATTGTAATTGCAGTGATATTTGGTTTTTAAGTCATTTCTTTCTCTCTCCGCTTGTCACACACACTAAACTATTATATGTCATGTCACATACTCTTAGTTTAATATTAACATCTGTAAGGAAGTAACACCGTCAATTATACAGTGTATAATGCAAGTCAGCCTTTCAATGACTTATTTTCCCGCCTTTTCAGATCTTGACTGATGTACTGTAGTTAGGCCTTTAAAATGTGCTCTGTGGCATAAACCAAACAGCATATGGCTTTGGAGCAACATGAGGGTGAGTAAATAACAGTTTTCAAGGTCTAACTGGCAAACCGACACAACCATGCAGCTCCCGAGCACAATTTGCCAGCCAGCATGTGTCTTCTGAAGCCCGTTTACCAAAGACGTCCTGCTGGTTATGCTAGTTAAGAAGGCCAGCAAAGAAACCAGCGCATCATCATACCAAAACTACTGAACACAATGGGATATAACTGTCACTTTTGTTGGTCAGTTCTTCATGTAGAGCTTCAGATTCAGGCAGAACTAGAAAGAGATCAGATCCAAAACACAACAGATGCTCTTCGGCGGGGAACCCAGCTTTGTTCGGTTGCAAAATCAAAGAATGTAAGCAGCATTCAAACATCACAACTGGAATGTTTACTGCAACTTCCTGCAAATAAAGCCCTTAACTGTTGCCCCCATGTTTTAAACATAGACATAAAATTGACATGTTTAACTTAAACGATTGCCAGTCTTCAACGCTTCGTTGCATAGATGTGAGCTTAGTCTCATTTTAAAGACGACAGATGTCAGATTGCAGCTTAAGTGCAAAAAAGTTTAAAAAGTTAAATAAAGCAAAAGTTATGTGCCTTTATCTTAAATAATAACAAAATAATGTTATTACAAAACATAAAATGTGTATTTTACTAAACGTTTTAGCCTCAAACTGACAGTAAATCAAAGCAAAATATCCAAACAAATTTTAGTCCAAATTTGAAATTGATATCTCAAAAAAGTAGCTTTCAGTAAGATTTTGTTGACCAAAAATGACCACCAGATGACATTCAGTTTACAAGGTGACCATACAAGGGCGCCCCCTATGTTTTTAGGAGTATAAATAAATTTATTAATACTTTTGACAATATTTGTAAAGTAAACATAGGCAGATTGGTGGTAGTTAGTGTTGTCATACTACTGGAATTCAATACCACACATTAAAATCACACATTCTTAAACACTGCTGATTTGCCATTGTGTTCGCTCAACAGAAATGACTGATTGGCCATGAAGGTAATCAGTTTACTGAACTCACCGCTGTTTATTGAGTGTAACAACAGACTCAGGGATATTTGAGCATTTTAAAGCCGCAAAGATCAGCTTGTCTGTTTGCCCTTAATGCTTTTGTGTCCTGCGCTTTAGACTTTGTGCCTAGATTGTTAAGATAGAGCCCAAAAATGTAGTTGAATCTATTATTTCTTCCTGTGTAAAACAACATGAACATTTACTATTACCGTTAAACCATTACCATGAATTAACATTACCAAATCGCCCATTTTTGTGGGTGAACTACTTAAATTATTACATATATTAATCAAAGTTACCCAATTTACAGGAGGCATTCACATATTGCATCTGAAAACACATGAAAGGTGTGAGATGCGTCACTTCCTTTAACTAGTGTTTTCCTGGCATGACGCAACTGAAAGATGAGACTCTGATTGGTTGATTGCACATTATGCTCAAAACACACCCATAACTCATTTAGAGAATAAGCACAACCTTGTTAGACCATGTGCTAAGGCACAGACTGTATTTTTCTGTCCTTAAAATAGCAAAAGTGGATTCGGACATGCCCTTAATGCTTTTGTGCCATGCACTTTAGACTTTGCGCCTAGATCATCAGATAGAGCGCAGAATGTATTTTAATCTATTACTCTTCCTATTTAAAACAAAAAAAAAGCATCCCGAAGGCAGTTATGGGGTTAAACGTTTACATTTACTCTAAAAGAGGGCTGATCTGTGTCTAAAAATGTTTAAAAAGTTGTACTATTTACTGCTTTCAAAAGAAATGTGTCACTTGCAAATAATAAAACAGAAACGACAGAGTTTGTTACATGTGATCTTAATATGCAAAATTAATATGAAATAGATAAAGCAGCTAAAGCAGAAGCAAAGAACTAAATAAATAAAAGCATAAAGCAGGAGTCTTTACAAAACTACAAGAATAAATGGAGGGCATCTGCAGACTGAAGGGTGTGTATATATATATATATATATATATATATATATATATATATATATATATATATATATATATATATATATATATATATATATATATATATATAAACTACATTATTAATTTGCATTCTTAATATGCAGGGTTGCGGCCTACATTACTTATCCAAATGTTGCATCCCTTTGCAATCCATCAAGAGGAGCGTGGCCTCCAAAAAAAACGAGCTGGGAGAAGCCAAGCCGACAACCTTTATGTCAGACCAGCGCTGCAGAACACATTTGTGAAGGCTTCATGCGTGCAGCGTTTGATGTTTAATATAGTTCAGTCTAAAGCGTGACTGTAGTCCGTTCACTATTTCACCTGTCAGAGTTAGTTACAAACAGTGTGTGGGTGTGTGCAGACTGTGCACCGTACTGTGAGATGTGTGTGTGTGGTTATAATCCGTCAACAGCGTGTGTGTAGCGTGTCTGTCAGCTCTGACCACCCAAGAACAACTGAAACAGAAATACTGCAGTCTTGAGTCTAAACATTGTGTGTGTGTGTATATGTGTGTGTGTGTGTGTGTGTGTGTGTGTGTGTGTGTGTGTGTGTGTGTGTGTGTGTGTGTGTGTGTGTGTGTGTGTGTTCATTTAAACGCTGGAGACTGATAAGAGCCAAACATAGCCATACTTAAGACTTCAGACAAATATCAGCAATACGGTTTCTTTCTGAGCGACTGTACTGAGAGAACAAATGCTCCTATGAAGAGTTGTGTTTTTGTTTACAGTACACTAATAGATGATTACTGTGGACTTAATAAGGAATGAACATTTGTTAGAGCTCAGGGAATGCCTCCCTTAAAGTGATAGTTTACCTAAAAATCAACATTTGGTTTTAAACCTTCATGAAAACCTTCAGGGATTGACAAACATAGTAGGAACAAAAAATACAGTGGAAGTCAATGGCTGCTAGTTAATTTGTGTTCATCAGAAGAAAGAAAAAAGTTGAGGTTGGTAACAAGTGGTGGATGAGTAAATGAATTACCATTTTCATTTTTGGGTAAACTACTTAACTTATTATATTAAGCAAAGTTACCCCATTAAATACATGCAAAATGTACAAATGCTATATATCCTTCAA